ATAGAGTCAGTTGGGCACCGTCTTCAAAAAAAAAAGATTAATTCACTCAGCCAGAGATTTGGAAAACGGCACGATGTACTGCTTGGCATTCGCGCCGGAAACTCCAATACGAACATTTCAGAGTGTTTGGGTGTCAAACCGAGGACAGCGCAGAGGATTTAGAAAGAGTTGGATAAGCCTAATGGTGATTATTAACGTACGGCAGCTCAAATAACTCACTCTGATCGTTTTAATAAGAAAAGAACTCCCGAAATTGTTGGTGAGATCCAGACCATAATATACAACGATCCCTCCAAGTGAATCAGCTCCATAGCGAGGGACACAGGAGTGTCTGAGTTTCCTATCAGGAAGGTAGTGCATGAAAACATTCGGTATTTCTCATACAAGATGAGAAAGGGACAATATTTATCCTACGCTATGAATGACAAGTGGAAAGACTGTGCTATGAAGCTTTTGAACAAACTCAAGCATTCCCTCCAAATGAATGGAAAAAAATATCCTGCCAGCATAAAATGGTGAACGGACAGAACAATCATTGGCTTGCGGTGTCCCTAAAAGTCTTATCGAGAATGATAAAAACCAAATATCCAGTCGACATCACGGTTTTTGGAGTGATCACCACGTTATGCCTCTATTCATTCTCCCACAGGGCCTAAGATTCAACATGGAGGCCTATATCAAGTGCTTTGAGGTGGTAGAGCTGACCTGGGTCAAGAGGGTGGCAACAGGACTCTGCATCATTCCACACAAGCAGGAGAACTCAGTCATAGCTGTCAGACAATTACTGCGATCAAATCACCCCTTACATCTGGCCACCTAACTCCACAGATTGCATCATGCAAGACACCGTTGAAGGTGGACGTAGGAAAGGGCGCCAACGCAAAAACTGATTGGAAATGTCAAACAATGGACAGGTACCAGAATTGCTGATGTCTGCCGTTGATAGACCGTTGTAGAAAAGAGTTGGAGTGTCTTCTGCAGTCGAATCCGCCATACGATTACAATAATCAACGGGATGATGATGACGATGATGATGATGATGATATCTATCTATCTATCTATCTATCTATCTATCTATCTATCTATCATTACAAGGCACGACAGCCTGTACAAGACCATCATGCAAGACACCGTTGAAGGTGGACGTAGGAGAGGGCGCCAACGCCAAAACTGGTTGGACTATGTCAAAAAATGGACAGGTACCAGAATTGCTGATGGCTGTCGTTGATAGACCGTTGTGGCAAAGAGTTGGTGTGGTTCCTGCATACGGATCCGCGCTTCTTTTACAAAAGTTAAGGGGATGATGATGATGATGATGACGACGACGACGATGATGATTAAATATGTTTTAATTAAAGAACAGACGTTACTTTTTTGGCCGCCTCTCTTGCACAGATATTATTGACAATGTGTTTTAAGATTTATTATAGTGAATCTATTTAAGTTATTAAACACTTACGATGTACAATTACATGACTATGCACCTTATATATATATATATATATATATATATATATATATATATATATTAAGTTTTCAATTATTTTTGTAATACATTTACCTGCAAAATATTA